CCCTCAGATTGCGAGTCGAGTGCCTTAACCACCCTGGCCATGCCGGGCTTGATATCATGTATATCAGTACTTAATTATTTTGGGTAAATAACTTTTTATAATGCAAGATTTGATTTTGCAAATATTTATCATTTTTAAGTCATGTAATTTCCCTGAGAACAACTTAATTCATCAGGAATTTTGTAGATAATCTAGGAGATTATCAGTGTTATAAATATAATTTTGTTGAAGAGGAATTCAGATTGTAAATTTTATACATTCTTATGTCCATGTTGTTGTAGTTATTATTTGAAAATAAATTATTATAGCAACAGGTTTCCTTTTAATGAACATGTCATTAATACATCCCTTTTATTAACCTCATGTAAGAAATATAACAAGGCAACCAACTAATCTTGACATGATCAACCTGACCAAAAGTGTATGAAATTTAATTCCCCTTTCAGCTATGTGGATTAAGTGTCATCTAAATAAAGCTTGTTACTTTGTTGTAAACATTTTCTTGCCCTAATCCTGATTGAAAAACAGCCATTTTTTATCAATTAAAGCCAAAATTAGTCATTAAAAACTTTAGAAAGAACTAGCAAATACCAAAAAAGGTTTCTCCATTTAGATCTTTGTTCCATTAAAAACACAGTCTGTTAATTTTTTTTTTTTATGGGAAAGCCAACAACAAAGCATATTCAACATGTTTCATCAGTAACAAGGTTTATAAAAATGCAAATCAGTGTATGTGAGAAATACTTTCCACAAGCTCCTACACATTGAGCTGTTCTTCATTTGTTTGGAAGTACAATAAAGATGATAAAAATAATTTTTTTTCTCTATAGCTTCTCCCATGCCCAAGTTATTAGAAAGTAAGCCTGCAGTTAAAAGGATCTTGATACAAAAAAAGGCTAAGCAGTCAAACTCCACATCTTTGATGCTGGGGATGTGGCATGCCTTCTTGACAGTTCACTTTTCTTCAGATATTGTATATGGAGTCTTTAAATCTTTATTCAACTACTCTTAAAATTTTTCCTATAGCAATGGTGCGACCTGAAAAAAATATAAACAAAATAAGTCATAAGCATAAACCTACTTTATCAATATTAAATGTTTATACATTATTTGGAGAGAGGATTATGTTTTTTTTTTTATAAAGTTGTATCAATTTTTTTCAAATAACTAAAAGATTGTGTCTAGGTGTCAAATTCCATACCTTCATCTCGTAATGTGAATCGCCCCATCTGTGGAAATTTTTTAAAAGACTCCATACAGGTCAAATCTGAACATTCTAATCTCATAATGGCAACTTGATCTTGTTTAACAAACCGAGGCCGTGTCTTACTCCGTTCTCCAGACTTTTTATCAATTAAGCAGATTAAGGCCTATGTGTAAAGAAATACAATTAGATAGTTATCTATTCCCTTATTTCATGAGAAATGTAATTTTTATTTCTGAAAATACTTAATATCTAAAACAAGTTTTATTACATTAATACTAAGATAGACTATTATACCTTTCAAGATAAAATATAGATAAAAAATAAACATTTTTATTGCAGCTTACAATATCCTTTGCAATTACAAGGCAACAAAAGCTACAAATCTGTAAAATTCTATTTTTGATGAATGCCACCTTTTTTGGGACAAAACGTTTATAAGATGTGGGAGGTGGGGGTTAGCTTAAATCTAAGTATCACTACCATATACAGACATAACTATTGACTGAGAGTTATAGATGTGGATGTTGTACCAAAACTGAACCAAAAATCTAACTGTACACATGGGGTACAGTTTATATGCAAAATGTTGGTTTAACTATTTCCACAGAGTTGGTCAATGTGACTGAACATGTAACCACAAAGTAATCATCAGTCCCAATTCTATAATGTTTAATGTGGTATTTGTTTCCTCATGAAATATAGCAAGCTTTAAGTAATCATTACATGTTTTTTTGCACATATAAAATCATATTTTCTAATTCAGCATTTTTACTAAAGATTTGTCCATGAATATATGGAGTCAAGAGTGTTGACAGCTCGAAGTGCAAAGTGATTTTCATGTTAAGATTAAAAATACTTTACATCATCTGAAAATTTTCAAATTTCATTTGTATAACCTCTAAAAACTCCTAAATAAATAGGCTTTTTTGTTTCTCAGTAAAATGATATTTCATCTGTTATTTTCTCTATCCTAACTCTAATAAAGACTCAGTTGATTTGACCAATCTTTTAACCACCAAAAATGAAATGAAATAAATCAAAATTACTTTTTTCTTTCTAGAATGACTGCAGATTGTAACAAAAAAACTACAACTGTTTATCCTAAAAATTTAAGATTTTTAAGTCTGTATATCTTTCTACTTAATTTTGTTTTATTGCCCTTTGAACTGTGTCTAACTAATAATCCTGCCATACAATTTGCAAATTACGTGGCAAACACTTAGTTCACATTACCTTATTGAATGACAAATCATGACCTACTTGCAATCATACTTCATGAAATTTTTTATTTTTCATTACCTTACTTAATCTAACAAAAAAGTTTATAATTTTTACATTTTAGTTACTTTTTTAATAATAAAAATAACCATGAAAAAAAAAGAAATACTGTACTTATATTTGACCTTTTTTTGCTGTTGAAATTTAATTTACATTATTTATAATGATGATATTAATATGATAAACTTATATTTATTTAAATAATGTACCAAGGAAACTGAAGATGAAATTGTCAATACTTTGTACTGGAAAAAAAAGCATTATATGTCATTTGATAGATTAAAATTTTGCCTTTCTATTGGTTATGAACAATATAATATAAAACTTTAGAGAAAATTATTGGCAATTTCACAAAGAGAAGATATGGCAGGTGGGTCTGATTTTCTAGTTTATGACATCGTGAACAATCAAGATTGAAAGCTATAAAAATTAGAGTTTGCTTTAGTAATATCTGTATTGTAATGAGTAATTTATGTTGAATTCTGTATTTCAGAGAGGGGTGGAATATAACCCAGAGAAAAGGGAAGAAAACAAATGTCATGATTTTCATTCTAGGGGTGGGGATTGAGGATTTATTTGAATACTTCCTCATAACTTTAAAAAATTAAAACTTATATTAATATGTAATTTATTAACTACTTTATGATGCCAAGTTTATTTGAATACATTGATAACTGTGTAAAAAATCATCACATGCACATTTTGACTCATCTGTAGTGAGGGTTAAAATATGTTATATTTGAAAACAGACTGATCCAGACATTTGCTTTTTTCCCAGTTATAACTAGTGTGGGTATAGAAGTGAAAAATATGTACTGGCATATTAATGGAACAAAACACATAAATGAGAACACCTACTTTGACAGAAACCTCTTCCACAGCTGCATGTAGGTGTAGCACAGCTGTGTAACCTGGGCATACAATGGACTTGTGTTCTAGGATCACAACCTACGAAATACACCAAAAATGCGAATGAATTTTTAAGTTACAGGTATCACTTATACACAGAAACAAAACATGAACATTTCCATTGCAGTCACAACTAAATACAACACAACAAGTTCAAACATTTTACTCTGATGTCCACTAAACATTTGGTAAACTAAATGAAATACTGTTGTATCTGAAGTTTAAAAACTTAAAATTTCTACTATCAAAATTGATTAGTTATTTTTTAATGGCTGAAAGGAGTAACTTGTAGCTTTGAACATCAACAAAAAAAATCAGTTGTTCAAATGCAAGTATCAGAATGTGAGCTAAGAGGAAAAAATGTAAGAGTTCATTTTCATAATTTCAAGACAAGGCTTAATGTGATAGGCCTGCAACATAATGCAAATTTTTTCTACATCAGCAAAGTTTGTTATTAGAATGAAACTGTGTATATGATGTTTTTGTTATTAAGTTCATTACTGTTTAATAGAACTTCATACATAAATCTAGTCACTCTATGTGTTTGTATTTCTAAATATACACCTGGAAAAAAGTTAAGCACCCCCGTGTTTTTTTCAAGTGATTCAGATTCGACG